CGTACCCAGTGAATGGTTAGCATTTTGTCCACAGGCATGCGGAATGTCCACAGGCATTTCTCTGACCCACATCTATGCCCACATTCCTATAGACCCTTGGGAAGATCTGTCTGCCCTATGGCCCTGCTTTCTGTGACCCCGGGGCTCGTTCACTATACACTCAGGGGAGGAGTGCACTGTATCTGTCTAGACTTAACAGGTACCATCATGGCAGTGTCATGGCAGTGCCATGCAAACAATAACCCTAACAGCAACCACCGTCGCCATGGCAATGTATGTTTTCATTGCCAGTCTTGTTGCAGTAGTTTTTACAAATCATTGTAGTAAGAGATACAACCATATAAAACGTTTCAGGTTTGGGATGATGACTGACGTTCCATGTGTTTTACTGTTTATAAGCAAAAGGTTTATGAACACATAAATGGTACACTCTGCAAATTGCACAAAGTGATACGAGAGTGCTCTATCAATGCAATATGTGTCCTAAGGCAATGTGCTATAGCGCAGTCTCTGGAATAAAGTGTTAACACTACATTTACCATTATAATACGGACGTGTTATCCATCTTTAGGTGACAGTAACCGCCCCATGCTGACCCTCAGGGCCGGCGACCCGCCTGACGCCGACTACATCAACGCAGACTTCCTGGATGTACGTAATCACACACCTACATAAAACACTGCTTGCTTTTTTTTTGCGACGCCTCAGGGGTGGTTCTTTAAGTGCAGTACATGTGCACAGAGAATCTGGTAAAATTATACCATTGTATGTTTGTGATATTAGGGCATTTTCAGTTCCTTTGGCTCATGGCGTTTGGACACACACCGTCTTTGCTGCAACATTATACTACTTGCATTAATGACTTGATTTGATATGATTTATTGAAATTGCAACAGTGCAGTACACTTGGGACACAGGCCGCTGTTGCTGGTGTTGTGTCCCACACTTGAGTACACTTCTTTTATTAAAAAATTAAAATATACAGTGACAAGACGTGGTGGCGACACACTCAAGTTACACTTATATTCATGTCGCCACCAGACAATACGTAATACAAGCATGCAAAGTACGAGTTATCATATAGAAGTTGAATACAATAATCAATCAATGAACAAGTGAAACAAATTGAGTACACTTTCCTTAATCAATCTATGTAACCAATAATCAAACTATGTAACATATGTATGCAGACAATACGCTAAGGGTATGTATTAATAAAGATGATGAATAAACAATTCCTGACTCCAGGGCTACAAGCGGAAGGACGCGTTCCTCGTCACCCAATCACCGCTGCCCGACACCGTCACGGAATTCTGGCGCATGCTCAGTGATCACAGATCATTCTCCGTAATCATGCTGAACCAACTAAACCCGAAAGACAAGGTGAGTAGATTCGGAAAAAAAGGTCTCCAAGAGCTAGTCCGAAATGTTCTTATCAGGAATCGGGCAATTATCCTTTCTTTGCCTTCATGTAGTTGAAATGAGACATTCACCATAGTGACAGACGTCTGGTTCAGGTCATTGACTTTATTTGTTTGGAGAAGAAAAAGAAACTGAGCAAAATCAAGACGTTTTTCTTCTGCGAAGGTAAACATAAAGAACAGTATCAAAAGTTGGATATCAATCATTGCAATGTTATCATTTTTTATCATGTTGTTAGCAATTGTTTCATGCTTTCCGTCTTTTTTTCAGAGCGTTGTTAAGTACTGGCCAGATGAGGGCACAAAAACGTTCGGCAATCTGGAAGTCGAGATGGTGTCGGAGAGTCGAGAAAAGAGCGCCATCGTGCGGCAGTTCAAGCTGTCCTCAGAAACACGGGTGAGTCAAATTTGTAGAATGGCTGGTCATTGAACCAATTATTTTTACTTAGTACATTTGGGGATAAGTATCAGTATTTTTGATGTTTAAAAAGAAAAGCCAAGTAGAGTACTAGTCCATTCCACGTCACCGAGAGGGTTGTTATAATAATTGTTATTACTGTATTTAGGAATGCCTTCAATTCTTTGTAATTGCTTTTCTAAGATATTTCATAGTTTGGAAATATTTTTCAACTTTTCAACATTCTAAACACTTCCCTGGTTTTGTAAAACTTTTGATATATTCCTGATGTGGAATATGATGTTTCCAATATCTTTTAAATATTTGTAGCAACATTCTACCATTTTTACCATAATTTAAAATTATTATCTATGCAGTGAACTGTTCTAATTTTTTTTCTTGTCGTAGTTCGGTCGCCAGTCCGACATTGTTCACCAGTTCGAGTTCACGTCGTGGCCGAGCGGTCGTTCAACTCCGATCTCCGTGGACGATTTGTTAGAACTCCTAGGATTGGTCGAGAAGTGGCAGCAGAAATCTGGCAATGGACCAATCACCGTGCACTGCATGTAAATATGACTTCTCGAAATCAGACACCTTTAGTTTTCATGGCACCTTTTTTTTTCTTTGATGCGATAAAAAAGATCAACACAGTTCTAAAACCTTGCTTCAAATTTTACTATTTCTTTCAGTAACGGAGTGGGCCGTAGTGGCGTATTTTGCACAGCACATGCGATGTTAGACAGGCTGAAGACAGAGCAAGTTGTTGACGTGTTCCAGGCGGTGAAGACTCTGAGGAACCACCGGCCTAACATGGTGGAGACAGAGGTAAGCGCCGTGCGTGTGTGTGTGTCTGTGTCTGCCTGTGTGTGTGTGTGTGTGTGTGTGTGTGTGTGTGTGTGTGTGTGTGTGTGTGTGTGTGTGTGTGTGTGTGTGTGTGTGTATGTGTGTGTGTGTCTTTCTGTGTGTTTGTGGGTTTGTGTGTATATTTGTGTAATAGCTCTGAAATAGCTTCTCAACCTGCATGACAATGTTTCTTTTGCATTTCCTTCCAGGAGCAGTACCAATTCTGCTACCAGGTGGCGCTTGCGTACCTGGCCTCCTTCGACACTTACGCAAACTTCAAGTAAGATGTCTGTCACCAAGAATGGCAAGATATGGGCAGATGTTCATAAGTATTTCCGAAGAAACTTTTACAGAAATGTTGCCAAAAGAAATGGATACAGGCTACGAAATCTAGCTGTAATATAGCTTAATCCAGTGTTGCAAATGTATTTCAGTATATTCAGTTTTCTTCCTAGTACTTATTGCAGAGAGGACTTAAATATAATCATGTTTAACATTAATTGTGTACGCTTCTCATGTGTAGCGAATACGTTTGGAATATGGCGTCCCTCGATCTGTGTGTATTTGATTAAGGGATAATTTTAAAGTAAAAGTTGACACATGTTGATACAAAGTTGACTTTAGTTAAGTAGTATGGCATGCCCATGACATAACATTTATTGTATTAAACTATTCATTTTTGAGTTGCTAGTACGTGTTCCATCAACGTCATATGCGATACGTATTGTATATCAGTTTGGTTTCTATAGCTGTTGCGCTTATGTCATGTTTTACTGACGCAATTAGAAGGTATATATTTTCATATTTGAAAACTCACCAGGACATTGACATGTTTATACGAGAGTTTATTTTGGAGCAACTGTTCCAGTTTCAGTATTTTTATTCCTAGATTATATTTCTATATATGCGTATCATAATCATGAATCCGTATAATTTTTACGTCGTTGAAGATGTTGCAACATGGCAAATGTGACAAGTCAAGTAGGTAAAACCGAGTCTTGGTCTATGTACAGTGCTATATAATGAGAAAGTTTGAATTTTAATGTTGCAACTTAACACTTATTTCAAAGGAACTTCGATTTTAGTATCTATTTTATGCATAAAGAACGTTTAGGTATGATGCTAGAATATTTTGTCTTCTTTACTTTGTTGCTACTTTAATTTAAGATATACTAGTAATATGCAAGATGGTATTTCTTCCCACCATGTTGAAATATTTCATTTTACAACTTTTAGGCGCTCATTTTTGCCATGATGTTTAATATTTAAAGCTCTCATTAAGCACAGCTAGTTTTAACTGCTTTTTGGAAGATTCCTTTTGTAGATAAATGGGGGTGTCTCTACTTTGTGTATTTTGTCTACCGCCTTTGTACATATCTTACGCACACCAGAACATGTTTTTTTTTCTTCCCGAGCCTTGGACAAACTGTACATAATATTCTGTTCATTCTACTCGACATGCCCTTATCTTATAGTTACTTTATTATGACTTTGATAAAGCCAAAGGCCCCGGTATATAGAATGGACAGCTCCACCCAGAAGAGCGACAAGCGTTCTCGGTGGTCTATGGGGGTGGCGTCTGATTGTTCGAAAGTTAGCAAGAAAAATAGCGTGGTCTGCGAACGTTGGCTCGTCCCTAAACCCGCGCAGCGATCGAGAGGATACTAGCCGTATTGATGCCGAAAATGTCCTTCTAGTTCGCAGACTCACCGGAATAGCTTTCCGCGTTTTGCAAAGAGTGCGTGTTGTTGTGAACTGCGTGTCTATCCACTATCTCGGGGACATGGAATGTTTCACTTTTCCCTACGTGGACTGACTTCCTTCAGGGGTAGACACCAGTATGAGGATTTTGTACCGACTGACCGTCTACACTGTCGCCTGGCTGTGTGTGGTCTACTCACCAGGTAAGGGCGGAGATACAAAGTTATATATACTAGTATATACTCACATTGAGTTTTTTTTAGTTTTTAAGTAGCCTCTACCAGGCTTCGGGAGTCGGCTGGAAAGAGTAGAAATCGGCCATGTAGAGAGAGATAACATACCAGGGGAGTTGGTCCGCTAGAGACTACAGTTTGCCGTACCCGCATTACGGAACAAAAATCGTACAGGCTCAATTTGATATACTCTCCAAGCAGAGGTTTGGTTTTTAGCTTATTTTTTTGGCTTTTCTTTGTCTTTAGGCTTTTCTATCGGGCTTTCTTTTTTTGCATTGGTCCCACGTAAAAGAATATACCAGTGCAAAAAAGAAAGCCCGAGAAAAAAGCCTAAAACACGCCAAAAATAAGCCAACACCCAAACCTCTGCTTGGAGAGTACATTTGATACTACGCCTATTTTAATTTGATACAAATTAAACATAAGGCGCTTGAATACCTGCATACGTATTTCTGTATTACTGATATCGTGACAGGTCTCTGTTCTCATCACGGCAACGGATCGATTACCTCATTCCGAGTGACCCTAGCTGGATCAGGGCAGGCAGTGAATGAGGTAAACGCGGGGGTTGACGCCCATATCGTCTGTGACGTTACCGGCGACCCCCTTCCTCAAGTCGACATCTTTAAATACAGCGCCGAGGGGCAGAATCTGGGGTCTTTGGGTACCGTGTCCGATGCGAACGGCTACCAGGTACTGTCCGGTGCCAACGCGACGCAGCCCGGCAGAAAGGCCTACCGCTTCGCGCCTGTCATGAACGGAACATTCCGCTGTGAGAACCACGTGGACGAGAGAAGTCTACAGCTGGTAGTTAGACGTAAGTACAACGTACAGTGGTTCTTTTGCTGTTTTCTTTCCTTGATTTTTCTCCAAAAATATGTACGTTATTATTGTTTTATACAACTGCAGGCAATCTATTGAGGCGTACTCTGACTGCTGTCTTCCACAACCATTTTATGACTTTGAACTTTAACGAAAACACGTTTTCACAAGTGTAGAGGATTTTGGTACTGTTACGTAATTACAGTAATACCATGTAACAGGCAAAAAAAGTGGCTTGCGTTTTTAAGATTTCTTCCATTAATCCAGTCCATACGTACGTTCTCAAATTGTGTTATCTCATTTATCATGCAGATCAACCTGTTCCCTTGGACCCGCCCACCGTTGAGCAACAGAAGCCAGGCGAGCTAACCGTGTACCGCAGTACGGCTTACCACGGAGACGGGCCTGTCGTCGCCATGGTCGTACAGTTCCAGCCCTCTGGCGGCAACACCTGGAACAGCACTGGGGAGGTCACCGGAAACAGCTACGTCATTTCCGGTCTGACTGCCGGAAACAGGTACAAGGTGCGCCTCGCTCTGGTGCGGCCGGGAGAAGGGGGAAGAGGAGCGCCCGGTCCTGACGTCACCGTCGAGATACAAGTCCCGGAGGGCGAGGGCGTTAGCGGTACTTCATTCAAATTTCTTACATTGGACTTAAAGTGTTGGATTGTGCAGTTCCAGTCGTAATATGCTGTAAAAAAAATGCCTCCACCCCTGAGGCGTCGCCAAAAATGTCAATATTGAATATGACATGTGATCTTATGGACACCTGACTAAGTAGTGAAACAAACGTGCCAGGCAGTCTGTGGCGTCCCCCGTCTTGGTACAAAGACGGTTGTTGAGTCTTGTCTTCCACATTAGCAATTGGGCTTATCTTGGGGTTTGAAGACTTTCTTTCATGTGATTCAATTTTTCCAACTCTTCACCGCTTGTCATTTTTTTAGGATCGGTGATAGTTGGTGGTCTCCTAGGATGCATTATATTCATTCTAATTTCGGTCGCCATCTTACACACAGTCTACACTTCAAGGTATGTCCCTAGATCTCATCTTTTTATGATGTATTATCATACTAACTTGCCAGCAATAAAGATAGGCAAAAATCATTATTTTCTGACAAAACGTACACTGTTGGATTTTTGTCTTCATGAAAATGGCTGAGTAGTACAAGTACATTTCTCCCATATACTTATGACCCCAATCAAAGTGTGTGCGATGTATCTAAGTTTGATCTGTACACTTTTCAGGAAAGAAGCAAACCTGTTCGCACTTGCCACTTCCAAGCTGGAGAGGGGCGAGCTGACCTCTATTCCGAAAGGTAGTATTAATTGAATGCAGTATATATATTTGGAATATTTGAAATTGAATGATTCTTTTAATGATAATTGAAAGAAAATGTGAAAATGAAATGAGATGGGCGTAATCAAGATGGAGGGAAAGAGAGTAGTGGAACGGTATTTATGTACCAGCAGTTGCCATACTTAAAAAATGCCTTGTATAATTGTTTTGCAATAAAGTTTATCTGTTAGAGATTGTGTGTTTTTCCTGCAGAGATCACAGGCCAGCGGCTCGCCTACCTGCGCCTGCACACCGGGGAGTGGAAGAAGACTGGGAGTTACCGTGTGGAGAGGGAGGACATCGACAAGTACATGGAGACCACAGGGTTTGACGGGCTCATCTGGCAGTTCGAGGTGAGCAGCGGGCTTTCATATGTGTTGTTGTTGTTGTTGTCAGTGTTGTTGTCAGTGTTGTTGTTGTTGTTGTAAGTGTTGTTGTTGTTGGCAGTGTTGTTATTGTTGTTAGTGTTGTTGTTCCTGGCAGTGTTGTTGTTGATAGTGTTGTTGCTGTTAGCAATGTTGTTGTTGTCAGTGTTGTTGTTGTCAGTGTTGTTGTTGTTGTTGTCAGTGTTGTTGTTGTTGTCAGTGTTGTTGTTGCTGTTGGCAATGTTGTTGTTGTCAGTGTTGTTGTTGTTGTTGGCAGTGTTGTTGTTGGCAGTGTGCCGTACCATATCTTTAAGAGATTTTGTGTGGCTGTTGTTGTTACTTTTCTGGCAGATACTGCAATCTTCAGTGCTGTTGTGGGCAAAGTCATTATCCCTGCATGGATAGTTTAATTCTTTACCATGAGTCTACGTACAGCCCAAAGTCGTCCGTCTAATCTCAAGCAAGCAATGACTTCTACGTCTATGCTTGTATTGTCTAAAGACGAATTATCTGCGGGTGGGGGGTGTTCAGCACCAAGGACAGGTATAGTTATTTTCCTAACTGTCTCTACTTCAGGGCCTGCCTGACGAGCTGAAGTACAAGTGCATTGTAGCGAGGCGGGAGGTGAACAAGGCGAAGAACAGATACAAGAACATCGTCCCGTGTAAGTATACCGTGACTAAGTACAGAGTCAACTACTATGCAGATACTGCATAGTCTAACTTCATGATAGTGCGTGCACGTGACACAGTGGGCTTGTACTGAAAGAAAGCAAAAATATGATAGTAATTTACAGAGTTAGAAATTGTTACATCGAGAGCTTGGCGCATTCGTATCCTGTACATGTGTTACTCGAGGCCTTCAATCAATGATTTTATTTGGGATTCATTTTAGAAAACTCTAGTATAAGATACGGAAATAAAACAAAAGGCTCAGTACTTGTTCTATCGCTCTTGTTTTGTATATCTCTTGCAGACGACTACTCCCGTGTTGAACTGGAGCCTCTACCAGGCAAACCTGATTCTGACTATATCAACGCCAGCTGGGTCAACGTACGTTCGGTCATTGACTCCTTTACCTTCAGCACTTTATGTATTGGCCAGAGTAAACATCTATGTTGTTGCTATAGGTTGGAGACTTCATTACATTGAGTTCTTATGATGTTAACTTTCCTTGTTCTCAGGGTTACTCCAAGCCGAAAGCTTTCATCGCCGCCCAGGGACCATCAGCGGAGACTGTGGAGGATTTCTGGCGGATGATCTGGCAATACGGGCCGAAGTACATCATCATGATGGCTGACCAGGCGGACAAGTACAGGGTACGACTCTAATTCATTAGAGAAAACTGCACATTAAACATAGAGAAGACATGTTAAATTGTATCCATTGTAACATGATCATGGAGTAGGTTTGATAACCAATCCTTGTATCTTCGATTTCGTACCTGATAAAACTGACACATTTATGACACTGGCATATGCACCAACGATATTTGACAGTTTCACACCCATTCCCATTTAATGTAAGGAAAAGTTAAAAGCTATTATCATTGTCACAGGTCCCGTGTCAACAGTACTGGCCAGACAATGAAACAACATCGCTGCGGTCTGGTGACCTTCTGGTGACCCTGACTAAAAAAGAAGTCATGGCGGACTACACCTTTCGAACATTCATCGTCCAAAAGGTAATAAACTCTCTTCATGAGTTTCTGTCGCATTGTCATAGCGATACGAGATCTCTTACAATTGTTGATATTTCTCCCTAAACAACCGTCTATGTACCTAGAAGGGGGACGCCGCAGACTGCGTTGGCACATTTGTTTCACGTCTCCATAACAATAATTGTAACTTATGATCATATTTTATAAATTCTACCTACAGGCTGATGATGAAGCATCTCTGAAGCATCAGATTACTCACATGCAGTACACAGGATGGCCGCAACATCGAGGCGGCGCCCCTGCACATAGCAACCCCCTACTGAACCTCATCAGGACCATCAAGCTGAGTGACCCGGAGGACTTAGTGCCCCCTATGGTTGTGCACTGCGGGTATGTCCTCGTGGTACATCTATACTTTCATACTAAAAACATAGATTTCAAGAAAAGGGGAAAGTGGCATATTTTCTTAGCCTGGGTGTCATCCGTTTTGTAACAGGGCTCCTTGCATCCGCTCAGGCTAATTTGTTGGTAGTGAAATCGTCATTAAGGAGCCTCATACCTGCCACAAAGCTAAGGCGAAAAACTGTTTTAGAAAAAAAGGCAAGCTTTAATATTCAAAAATTATTTTACAGGATTTAATACCACACTCCTGTATAACTCTATATAGTTGTGAACAAAATCTGTTCACGTTGTCATGACTACGAACGATTGCAACGCCTTCAAAATGGCAGACCAATAAGAATCATACTTGAATGTGACGTCATGAATGACGTATATTCTGTGCTGTGCTGACGTAGTTCCGGTGTGGACCAGACCGGGGTGTTCATCGCCCTGTACGCCATGCTGGACATGCTGGAGGAGGAGGCGGCTGTCAACATCCGGGAGTTCGTCGTGCAGATGCGGGACTACAGGTGTCTCATGGTCCAAGGGGTGGTAAGTAACAATGGATGGAACTATAGAGACTTACTTTACTTAAGACTCAGTTCCTCCCATGCGAAGCACTCTGTCCAGCTACAAAATGTAACCCAACACCACAGGGTGTTGCTACAGCACAGGTAACCATGGTGACAGACGTCTGGTACAGGTCATTGACCTTTTTTGTTTGGAGAAGAAGATGAGAAAGTTTAAAATAAAAAGAAAGGGGACGAAAGAGATAGACACGGTAAAATAGAAAAGGAGGGAGGGAAAGAAAGAGATAAAATTAACCCGACCTATGGCAAATGGAATATGTTATTACTCAACATGACTAGGCACACATTTTTCTGACAATTACTAATGACATAATTCAGTACTGTATGCTATTAAAGGCAATCACTCTATAACGTTTGTTTTGCCTCCAGGACCACTACTTGTACATATATGGTTCTGTTCTGGAAGCAAGACGGTGTGGGAAAACTGTTGTACGGACAGACCAGTTCTTAGCCCACGCGGAGTCCAACCTGGGATTGAATGGCTCCAAGCGAGGCGCCCACTACTGCAAGGAGTTCGAGGTTTGTAGTCAGTTTTCAATTAGCTTCCTTTGTGTATTAGAATACTAGAAAATGCAGAAAATGTGGCAAATAGATTATTTATTTATCACAAAGCATGGCTACTCATTGTTTGATCACGTATGATGTTTCATTGATGCCATACTTATTTTCTCAACAGAAACTACAGACACTGTGTCCCAACCCGCCGCCGGAAAGAACCATGACAGGGGCTCTACCCGTGAATGAGAGCAAGAACAGGTTCCATAACCTCCTCCCTGGTACATACAGAAAACTCACTTACTTCTAATCACTTATAATCAAGATCCAGCCTTCCAGGGCTAATCTCTCTGGATATTAATGTTTACCTTCGCAGAAGATTGTTTTTTGCTTTGTTTTTTTCCCCAAACACACAAGGTGGATGCAGACCTGGACCAAATGTCAGTCGACTCACCATTATGATAGTAACTGGTGCTGCATTATGTAGCAAGTTGCAGGACAAAGTTGTCTGGTCACCATACATATGAATGTGTTTAGTAAGAATAAACAGATGGGTAGTTTGTTAGGATAGCCCATTTGAAGGTAAACACTACATGCTTTGCTTTCTAGTTACCGTTTTTTTCTTCATATCCCATTTGTAGATGACAAATGGCGGGTGACTCTGACCACGCCTTTATCCGACAAGGAGGGTAACGACTACATCAACGCCATCTACCTGGACGTAAGGGCTTACAGTCTGCATATATTCTTAACTTTAGCTATGAATCACTTTGCTTACAATAAATGTAAAGGCTGTTTCTATGCCTTACCAGTGGATCGAGGCTCTGCACTGCACAGACCGATATAGACAGACTTACATACTAGTAATCTGCCATATACATTCTATTGTTTCCAAAAATGATAGACAAATTGAAAGAGATTACCGTATTTCTTTCTACAGAGCTATAGAAGGCAGAATGGCTACATCGTCACCCAGGCACCACTGGCCAACACTGTGACTGACTTCTGGTGCATGATCAGTGATACTAACAGCAACATCATCGTCATGCTCAATACCGTGGGAGAGGTAAATCAATATCAAGAAGAAGCTTGATACTTTTTACCAGGTAGTTGCATTAGACAAAATAGCAGTCTAAGAGCTTTTAAAGATCATCTCATCTCCAAACAGATCTTTTGATGGCTGTAATATAGTATTGAATTGGCAAGACAGAATCAAATTGACCAGGCAGTATCCATTACGGCTGATGTAAAATAGATACGTAGTACAAAAGAAAAAGCACAATAACAACGCCTTAAACGAGTCAAAAACTAAGAGCCTAAACAACTGCTTAGAGAGTATTAAACATCTTCTATCTTCTCTCCCATAAGAGGCAACAAATTATATTCGAAAGTCGTGTCCGACATATCATTGAATGAAGCAATGTGTTGTGTTGTCCAGTCCTGTCCTAGGTACTGGCCCGCCCTCGCTTCAGCCACCTACGGACCGTTCAACGTGAAGGTGACCAACACACAGATAACACCACACGTCACCGAGAGGGAGTTCCAACTCACCAACACGGTAGGTATTCAAGTTTATATCTATATTATAGGTTCTGTGGCCTTTGATCAGGGGCATAGTTTGTACTTTAAGGCTTAAAGAAATGACACCTCTTAAGGGCATAAGAAATAGTCATGCCTAGTCAAGTACCAGTCGTGAGAGTTATCAACCAATGATTGAGGTGTTCAAAAACTTATTCTTTCCTAGAACTATCGCAGAGTGGAACTCACTGTCACCAAGTACAGTAGGGGCATTATCATTAGATAGCTTTAAACAGTGTTTAGAGTTAGATTTTCAAAGGTTAGGTGTAGCATTTTACTAGCAGGTCATTCGGTGTACGTGGTGTAGCCAGCTGCCGCCGCGCCGCGTGCCTGCAAAGCCGCAGTGATGTGTTACGCTGAAGGGCAGTTATACCGGCTATACAGATGCAGATACCTCAAGGAGTAACCCCACATACCATTGAAATATGATAGATATAGATGATAACAGTCATATATCCACGTTGATACACAGTTCAACCAGAAGAAGACGACGGTGCGACAGTTCCAGCTCACAAAGTTTACCGATGACGGTGACTCCGCCCCCCTGACAGCACCTGAACACCTGCTCCAGCTGTGGACCGAGGTGAACACGTGGTACAGACGGTCTAAAACAGATGGGCCAATCACAGTGCACTGCGAGTAAGTCTTAGGAATTACTATCCCTTGTCCTGCTGGCAATTTTTACACAATATTTTCAAATAATTTCATGTCTTAATCAGGTCATAGACCCTTGACTTTTTTTGGCCCGCGGTGGCGTAGTTACTTCCGCATTCGTTGCGTTTTGCTGCGGTGTGATGCGTTGCACGAGAAATACCCCCAAATCGTACATATACAGGGCACTATATAGATGGTACTGTATGTGCAACCCATATATATATGGGCTCTGCAGGACAAGGGTTTAATATGTTGTGTCTGACTCTAAAGGTTTTCAGCCCAACAGACCAAAAAATGTGACTAGTCCCATTTTTTAGCATTAGCTATGGCCTTTCTCAGTATGAATGACCCATTCATTTGAACACCTGACCTTGTAGACACCTGACTCAAGATCAGAGAGTCCTTGAAGTCTGTTTTTCACACGAAATGTTATTTGTTCACCACAATAACACCTTAGAAAAGACATAAGAAGGAATGGACATCTAAGACACTATTTCTTTGCTAGGAGTGGAGCAGGCCTGTCTGGTGTCTTCTGTACTGTTGACATGACCTTGGACAGGTCAGAGGTCGAGCAGGCCGTTGACGTGTTTCAGGCGGTGAGGATGCTGCGTCACCACCGACCAGAGATGGTCTGCACGGAGGTAATGTCTACATCGTGTAACTTTGAAGTCGTAGAGTCATACGTTGTTAAGCATTAAATTGTTGTCGTGTATACAAAAAGTATACTAATTCTAAAATTTTCATGGAGTAATTTTGGGTTCTGGCTCTGGTTCTCTAGGACCAGTACAAGCTGTGTTACCAGGTTGTACAGAAGCACCTACAGACCACTGCAACCACCTCATCATAACATCACCCATGGACACAGTACATGTACGTGGACACAGCACTTTAAGCACATGGACCCACTGCCAGTCTACGCAGAATGTTTTATCATTCAACAAAGCTAGGCTGCATTTAGATTTGCAATTGTACAAATTTTAGTATAAATTGATTTGAATACTATCATAATGGTTCTGGCTAATCAAATGGCAATAACATCCTAGAACCTTTTGTCGTAAGATAAAGCCAGCTTCTAGACTTCATAGTTTTGTCTTTATACTTGTAACAAAATCAATGATTTCAGTGTTACATTTTAGAAAAGCCTATGGCAAGAATATGTGCATGAAAAACAATTTATCTATGACTGCTAGAAGCAGGGAAAACAAGCATGTATACAAGTATTACACTTCAGAAAGATCAAATAGTCTCAATGTGCAACAGCACAGGCATAGCAAAATGACACTTTATTAGAAAATAATACATCAGTAGATGAACAAACAGCCAACACATAGCAGCTTTGTCAAAAAAAAGGCTGATAAAAAGTACAACATCTTCCTAATAAGGACCAGCATTATACCCGAAAGTCCTATTTCTGACGTCTGAATTTGTTTGGGATAAGAATTCCTTTTATTTATTACAATACTATAATGCTAAGTTTAAAATTAGTAATAATTTTACTGTAACTAAGATATTACTTAAACTATTATCCAAGAATAAACATTTCATTAACTTATGGAACAAGTATCATTCCTGACTTTAATAATCGATTGGCTTAACTTCAGCTGGCTAACAATGTAAAAGGCTTTAGCAAGCACAACCACTGTATCAAACATACCTACATGTATATCAAGTATGCATTAAATCTAGTACACTTCTCGTTATCATGAAAGTTTATCTGTATTGGTAATAATCATAGTAAAATTTGAAAATTTGATCTCTGTGTAATCCTTGTGTTCGAATAAAGTTCAACATTTTACTATTATACACTTCTACACCGCCACTAAGAGTTGGTTATGCTAATGAGCCCGTGCGCTCATAGTTTATGTGACCCCTCCAGGAGTCAGTCCTAACACCGACTCCGTGTTGTAAACACGTCTGGAATAAAACTCCTCGTCTGCACTTGTCGTTGTCCGAGTTGTTCAACGCGTCCTTGGTCACTAACTGGCGTGGCGGCAGCGCTGGGAAACGTCCAACCCATGCTTCGTCAAAACTTCGTCCAAGAGATCGCACCTTAAAGCATCCGGAGAGTGACACGCAACGAGGCGGACAGACATCCTCCTTTGACCGCAGAAAGAGTCACCCGAGGTCAGCAAGCCTTCCCTGACCCTCAGCCTTTCGCCACATTCCACGCGGAACCACTTTCGGCGACGGCACACCCAGGGAGGCGACCGACGGGGCTCCAAGACGCAACCGGGAATACTGTCCACAGTTATTCCAGCCGGCGGAGAATCGACATTCTCCGGCCACATCCGGTAGTGCAGCGCGCCCGCCATCTTGTTTCTTTGTGAGTTCAACCACGCATCCGGGCAGCCCTTCCCCGAAGAGGACAATTTCGTGCCGGTTGGCGACCGAACCAAGAGAGTTCCCCGCACCGGACGGATTGGGCCAACCTTCGTTTAGGAAGACAGCTTGCGCCGGGTCCGCAACCGAACTGCACCAAAACAAGGCGTGTTCTAGCCTGGATGCCAGACCCAAAGCACACTGGACACAAAATATCTCAGTGTGCTAGGGTCTGGTAGGGTCTCTTAGGAAAGGCTCTCGAGCAAAGGGTGGAGAAGCTGTGATTGATGACCCCTCACACCACAGGTAGCCTGTTACATGGTATCACCATTGGTCAGCAGGAGACAATCTTGGGCTCAACAGTTAATCATTAACCAGTCAATTTTCTAAATGTTTTTGGAGTTTATTTTCCAAAATAACAGCAGAACTTAGTCTAATAGTAGAAGTAGTGTACAGCCCAGGCTTTCCTGTTTGTTTAGGTAACAGTCCTCTAACACATTAGGACAAGATACACCTTATCTACAGTTTTATCTCATCTGCTGGTGAAGATTCAAAGATCCAGCTGGGAGTTTTTAACCAATCATAGCAGAGGTGTAGAATTGCTTCCTGCTGTGCCACCAATTGGGCCTTACGCTCAGATACTGAGCGTTCGAGTGGCAGGTCTATCTGACCCTACCAGACCCAGGCTCACTGAGATATTTGTGTCCAGTGTGCTATGGGTCTGGAACCCAGGCTAGGCGTGTTCCTGCATCGCCCAAACCACGCATCCGGGCAGCCCTTCCCCGAAGAGGACAATTTCGTGCCGGTTGGCGACCGAACCAAGAGAGTTCCCCGCACCGGACGGATTGGGCCAACCTTCGTTTAGGAAGACAGCTTGCGCCGGGTCCGCAACCGAACTGCACCAAAACAAGGCGTGTTCCTGCATCGCCCAGACGACGCATCCGGGCAGCCCTTCCCCGAAGAGGACAATTTCGTGCCGGTTGGCGACCGAACCAAGAGAGTTCCCCGCACCGGACGGATTGGGCCAACCTTCGTTTAGGAAGACAGCTTGGCCGCCGGGTCCGCAACCGAACTGCACCAAAACAAGGCGTGTTCCTGCATCGCCCAGACGAACGCACGTGCTTCTCTCGGTCAGTTCCTTTGTTCTTTGTTCTGACATCATGGCGACCGCCACTCGAGCTCCGCGCCAGTGGTGCTTAACCAAGACTGAGACGATCAACTCCTTCGAGAACTGGCGATCGAACCTCGTGTACGTTCTGTCCCTCGACACCAAATTTGCTCCTTTCCTGACCGACGGATTCACCTGGCAAAAGAAAGGAGTAGAGAACCGCGGTCTCGCGAACGATGCCGACCCTGTCCCAGAAAACGCACGGCGAACAGCGGCGCAGAAGGCGGCCAGCTTGGACCTTATGTTGGGACAGATTGCTAACTTCTGCCCCATCATTTCCCGTAACCGTATAGTCAAGGCAAGTACCTCTTTGTCAGATATATGGCAAGCGATACGGCTTCACTTCGGTTTTCAGTCCACCGGAGGGTACTTTTTGGACATTGCTAGCGTCAAGTTAGAACCAAACGAGAGACCGGAAGATTTATTCCAGCGGCTGACAGCAGCCGTAGACGACAACTTACTTACCAGTGCGGGGGGTATTACCCATCACGGTGAAGCTGTAACCACCGACGAAGAAGTCACTCCATCATTGGAAAACATGATAGTACTGTTATGGCTGAGAATGCTACACACAGATCTCCCTGCCCTAGTAAAACAGAGGTATGGAGCAGAGTTGAGACACAAGACGTTGGCTTCTATCAAACCTGAGATTTCATTGGCCCTTAAGTCCCTGCTAGCTGAGCTACACTGTACTGAAGAAATCAGAACCTTGCGACTGCAGCATCCCCGCAAACAGTTTCAGGGACAGCAACCCCAGAACAAGAAAGAGTGCCCTCTGTGCAAGCAATCAGGCAGACCTTCCATCGACCACTACTTGAGTGCCTGCCCACATCTCCCGGAAGCCGATCGCGAGTACATACTACGACCAAGACACCACCGTGATAACACAATCTAGACCCGAACTGTACCGGCCACACCACGAACTGAACTGTACCTGTTACAGAACATTCAAAATCGCTACCTGAACATCTACTTGACGAACATTCTGAACTCTGACCCACTCGTAATATGATATGTGATCCTCCACCCACATGTAGTACGATGATATACATGTATTTCTTATGTTCACATGCAGTATCTAGTAGGATATATATTTGTTATCTTGACTCATCCAGCAAGGCTAGTTAGTGACCTAGTTTTAGATACTGATATAGATAAAAGATAGTAGAAGGTCAGCCAAGTTCAGGGCTAGTTCGTTACCTCTTGTTTAAGACATAATCAGTTGTATCTTAAACGTGATTAATCAAACTAAGACCAAAGTTTGCAACTGGTTTCCAGTAGTGCACTTTAACATGAGCTGTTGAGTTCTAAAGTTTCAAGTTAGCTAGACTTTGTTTTACTAAGCATATGTAGTAGCCAGTATACTAATATATGTTTCAAACGTTACGTTAACCTCCGTAGAAAGATAGAAAGAAAGAAGCAAAGAAAGAAGAAAAGGAATCACGCCACTAAGAGTTGGTTATGCTAATGAGCCCGTGCGCTCATAGTTTATGTGACCCCTCCAGGAGTCAGTCCTAACACCGACTCCGTGTTGTAAACACGTCTGGAATAAAACTCCTCGTCTGCACTTGTCGTTGTCCGAGTTGTTCAACGCGTCCTTGGTCACTAACTGGCGCACAGTACAGCAAAACATAGATGTCAGCTAACATCTCTACTGTTTTCACCATCTTTTTGCATGGTATTTCCCTTCATAAGTCTTGCCCACACATCATTAGGATCATCTGTGGGGCGGGGCAACGTCCGAGCGATTTCTCCAATCAGAGTCAATGAGTTGTGGTTGATCAGATGATTTTCCACCTTGGCATCAATCAGCTTTCTCTCTACATTAGCCCGGCTCTTCTTCACAAACTCCTGCTGCTGGAGTGCCCCCTGTCTTTTCACACAGGACCTGCAGGTTCTCGGGTTGTGCACCTTTGCCTTGGCTCCCCTTTTCATGTCTAGCATCATGGTGTCAAGCTTTATCCTGTCCACTAAACCTCGTGGAACTGAACTGTCTGTACTCTGGGCATCAGCACTGGGTGGATTTTTCTTTGACAGGGCTATACTTAATGTTTTACCAGTTTCACCAACCAAATCAACAGAGGAGTTCAAATCATTCTGTGGAGGTGCGATTTCCACTACTGCCTTCCTGACACCTGACATGCTGCTGCCTCTCTCTTCAGGTAACTTTGATTTCTTTTTGTGCCTTCTGCTTGTTTTTGTTCTGTCCACAGCATCTTTTTCTTTCCTGGTGTATCTTGTTTCCTTAGAAGCACTACTGGAGCTTGGCTTGTGACTTCTGTGTGTCTTGTCTGTGGTAGGTTTTACTGTGTCCTGCTTCCTTTGAGGACTTTTCTCAGTTCCTTTGGCATCTAAAGAGCAAATAAATTTCATATAATCAATGTATAGATAAATGTATCAGTATCTTTGAGTTCACCATTGAAACAGTAGTGGCAATAGCCTGGGTACCATCCAGATTTTGTTCCGCTACGCTAGAAAAAATTTGGATTGTACCTAGGTTATAGTAGCAACACCAAGGAGATGCCAGTGCCAGTTTGTAGGTGGGATGAGTTTGCAGCAGTGAAGTGACCATGAAAACTATGAACTTGAAAAAAAAACACAAATATTTTCAACATCTAAACTATACTTTATACAAATAAGTTCCATTACCTGACATACTACTAGCTCTTTCTTTCAGCAATTGCAGCTTCCTCGAACAGAACTCCAGCAGTTCAGGTGTGACTTTGATGTCTTCTTCACCTGGTTTCGCTGCCTCGTGCAGGGTTGAACTGCTGGCCATCACTTCTGTGTCTAACAAGGCTGAGCTGTTCTGTTTAACCAGTTGGCATGCTCGGTGTAAGAAGTTTGACCTGGCTTCAGATTCTGGAAGTATGAAGTAGTTGCTGGGGTTAACAATTTTCCAGTAACCATTCAATGTGTCTGTCATTACAAAAAAAAAACATCAAATTTACTGGGATATCCAAAGACATGTTTAATTACCTTTTTCAGCTGATACAGATTCTGTGGCTGAACTCTGACCTCCTGAAGACTCAAAGTCGTCACTTGAGTAACCATGGTAACCATCTCCATGGTGATCACTGGTCTCATCCTCCAACTCCTCTTTCACCGAGCCTGACTCAACAGAGCTCCTGTCTGACCTACAAGTCATAATTAGAAGAAATATTATTACTGGTACATATATGTTGCATATGTTGGATGTTGCCTCTATAATCTGAAGCCAAACATTTCCAGCATTATAATAGGGACTTCCAACAAGCAGATCTATGAAAACTTTGATGAAACTGTCAAAACTGCTGACAGTAACAGAACTACTGATAGTAACTGATCTGCTGACGTACAGGAACAGAACTTTGCATTGAAGGGTCTATAAACTAATGTGGAAGGATTCACCTGTAGTGGTATGTGAAAAGCATTGTATTGCCAGTCCTCATGCACACAAATGCACATGCATATACAGTGCATGTAAGTTTGTAACGTTATACACAAACACACACACACACACACACCTCACATCCTCCTCGGCAACTGATGTGGCACTAGTGGTGATAAAATCCTCAGAGTAGCTGGCATCTCTGTCTGCAGCTGAGTCTTCTGTCAGCTCTGTGGAAATATCTGAAAAACAGCACATTATTATACAGCAACTTGAGCTGAGCAAGTCACTTTGTCAGAATCTTATCTGAATCTCCTTTTTGAGAGGAGAGACAAAATCAAAGTTTTCCTAAATCCATCAAAACAGTGACATGAAATAAAAAGCTAATCCTACCTTGTGAGAGACTAACCCCAGTAGTTGTACTACTGTGTGACCATCTCTCCACGATCCTCCCGCTGCTGCTGAGGGAGCTACGCGACTCACTCTCTCCGATAGACGACACGCTGTACACCTGGAGGTGTCCGCCATTCTCCGAGGTCAGCGATGTTCTGTCAGACGATTGCGAAACATCCTCTGACCAACGCTCTTGCGACTCTGAAGAAAAGGTATATAGTGACTACAAATAAAACATTTGCAAAGCAAATGCATAATGTTTACCTTCACATATGGTATGCTCCGTTATTCTTAGTCTTACTCAAAACACATTCAAATATATGGTGACAGGAGTACTAGTCTAAATCTCTCCTGCTAAAAATTTGCAACATGATGTAACCCATGGTGACAGTTACTAGTTACCATGGTGACAGACATCTAGTTCAGGTCATTGACCTTATTAGTTTGGAGAAGAAGAAGAGGAAACCAAAAATAATATGTTTTCTCTTCGGTAAACATAAAGTAACTTTATAGACATGGGACACTGATTATTTCCTCTTTAAAGTTCAAAGATATTGATATTAAGCTTACCTGATGTGTGAGTCCTTGAAAGTGAGTCATCATGGTCAAGGTCGGCTTCTTTTCTACGTCCTTCTCCGACAGACGCTTCTGTTTGACTGTCACTCGCCTCCGTAAAGGTGTCATCTTCATAGGGGGACGACATGGTCTGCTACACCTGAAACATTTTCATTGGGGGACAATATGGTATGCTACACCTGTCAAATATTGATAAGGGAACAACATTGCCTAGTACTACACCTGTCACATATTCACAGGGAGACAACCTGGTCTGTTACACCGAGAAATTCCTATTTCTGACGTCATGATCGGAATGTTTTCAGTCTTAAGAAAAAACAGACACGACCCTGACACTATCTACTCATTGCTACTGGTCTAGATTACCAACATATTTCCTATAAACAACGTAGGAAAAAGATTATCGGGGGTACAATTCTTAGATTTCAATTTCCCACCATTTCTGTTGTTGTCGATGATGAATTTCTCCCACCATGCCTCAGAAAGAATATACCACTGGTTAAAAGGGGGGATAGTATGATTTTTATGAAATTTGCTAAAGCATGTATTTATGTTCGGAATAAAATCACACAAAAGGACAAATGAAAGAAAGAAGGAAGATATGTATTGAGATAGATTGAGACGTAATAAATAAAGAACCGTTGTAATTATGACAAAATTTTTTAATCGCAGTGAAAAGAATTTAACACCCCTCCTGGAAATAGTGGTATAGTTCAGTAACCTGTGACCTTTGTAGAAAGACGCAGTGCGACGAGGCCGACAGATTTCTGTGTAGTCGTCAGAATTTTCGGCGATTTCGTCATTTTCTAGCGAATTTACACCGTATATCGGTCCGGATTTGGTATGTATACACTCTATAGCATTATTGGTGGAAATTTTAGGGTATGATTTAGATAAAAACTGACATTTTGGGCCAAAATTTGAGTTACTTTCTGAGGTAAACATGGAGCTACAGAAATATTTTATGACGCATGGAGGATACTTGTGAGATAATTTTGCTGGTTTCTCAGTACACTTAACGGTGTTTCTAAGAGATGAATGTATCTTTATCATGACTTAATAAGTACAAAATGTACTAGTTTTACTTCAGAGCATGAAGAGCGAAGACCCAAGAACTAAGGTAGAAACGGATACTGGTATACATGTAGTTTGATTGGGTATCATGGCATGGTGGAAAACCTTTGTTTGAATCGTAACTGCTCCACCTTTCTTCATCGCCTTACTAACAGCATTTGTTGTAAATTTGTAATGTTGACGATTGATTATTGCCTCCCTACCCTTTGTAAGACTGAATTCTAGGACTGCACTAATACATGTAGCACCTTGTCATAGCACACAATTGGCTTGTATAATTTACATGTAATGTTACATGCACTATCGGGACTCACCACAGAGATTGTCCTTACTGCATGTGTAGGTTGTTGTGCAGTGCCTGCTACACTAACAAAGATGGGACGCCGCAAGTCAAAGAGGAAGCCAGAGGCGAAAAAGCGGCAGGACCCGCTGGAGACCCAGTTCACGTGTCCGTTCTGTAACCACGAAAAGGCTTGCGAAGTGAAGATGTAAGATACGACAAGGATATGTCTATATGTTTGGTGTATTTGTACACACCTTTCTGTAAGTGATACAGCCTTACTTCAAGAATAGGGGTGTTCAGTGTACCTGGGTACCAATTCTAAGATGTCCTCTTGTTTCAGCTACATGTCCTGTGCCTGTGTCTGTTTAGAAATTAGATGATATGTTAAATAAAAGCTGATGGCCATGCACTGAAAATACACTATGTTGTCATCCAAGGTACTAACTTAGTAAGTGTAGAGTCTACTTTTAAGTGTAAAACTAGAACTAAAATAAAGGTTTTGACATGTGGACATGTAGGTAGAGGACATCTTCAGAAGAAATTTTCTTCACATACTCTACACACATGTACACATATACACACGGTGTATGTATTAGTTTTTAGGCATTTCTTGTACGCACAGTGCTTATAAACTTTTATTTCTTCTGTTCTCTGATGTGTTCTTCTTCCTTCATTATGTGTTGCTACCCATCCTTTTCCATGCTGCTAACTGTATGTACATCCCAAATTTGCTTTCTATTCTGTCATAAACTCTTCCACTGTATGCTTTTCATTCAATACATTTTCTTTCATTGGTGATAACTGTTCTGTCCTCTCCATGTTTCCTTCCCATTTACAACTTTGCTGTCCCACCTCCTGTTTTTCAATGCGTATCTGCTATGCTGTTCCTTTTCTGTCATGCATGTCTATGTTGCTATCCCTTTGCTGATATGCAACACCCTTCCTAATACTTTGCTGTCCCCGATTCTGCACACCACCTTTCTACCACTCTGCTATCCTCTTGCTGTCAATGTCTTCTTTGCTGTCCATCTGCTGTTCCACACCACCATCTCCCGTGCCCAGTTAGAACATGGGTCGTCGGCGTAAAAGTAGCAAACCTCCGCCCAAGAAAAAGATGACGGAGCCGTTACAGATCGTGTTTCCCTGTCCCTTCTGTAATCACGAGAAATCCTGTGAGGTCAACTTGTAAGGGATCATTTTGATGCTACTGCTTTCTTTTATTGCTTTGTATTTACTTTGAAATTAATCATTCTGTCGTGTAAAGAAAAACTGTTGCCTTACAATTTCAATATTTTGTTTTCTGCACCCATTGAATACTTCCTTTATAATCTTTTATCAATTACATTTTGTATTATCTCTGTTGGCAAGGCTAAAACCTTCAGTTAAAAATTTTTGATTTTCTACCAGTAATTCCTTTGATCCTTGTTTTACATTGTTTACGTATCATGTATACATCACGTCAAAATCAGCAAATCTTGGTCATAGAATCCAGTCAGTACAATTTATATTAGATCATGAATTTTGATTGTGGACTAATAGCTGTTTCTATTTTATTTTCCCAGGGATCGAACTCGGAATGTTGGCACGGTAACATGTCGAGTCTGCCTGGAGGACTTCCAAACTCCAATTAACTGTATCCTTTCTGGGAACATCTTACATTACAAAGATGTGATCATTCATTCATTGAAATCTTGGCTCTAAGAAAAAGTCAGCAAATGGTTTTTTCCTCAGGGACGAAGGTAACCGAAAGTATATTGCATGTATTCTGTGTGCCTAAAACCCATTTACATTGGAAGGGTTGTTGATTGCTGTAAAATTTAAAAGCAAACCTTCATGGCAGAAAAAAAAAACAAATGCAGGGAAAAAACTCAAATCAGTTCTCTAAATTGATAAAAGTGCTACTTTTAGAGTCATAATATGTCCATCGTGCAAGACTTCTAAAATTCTAGCATGTTTTGTGAATTCCTTGACTTCTCTTCCCCAGACTTGTCAGAAGCAGTGGACGTCTACAGCGATTGGATAGATGCCTGTGAATCAGCCAATCAGTAGCAGCGACACAAATTGACAGCTTTCATCAAAGGCTGAATTGTGATTGGACAGTTGCACAGTGTGATAGCCAATGAGGATGATGCTTTTTGCTTAATACGGGGGCAAAGTTTGGATGAGTCAACTAGACTAGATGATAAGAGTAGAAGATTGTATGAAGTACCATAACAGTTGTCCACTGCTGATTCTAAATACATAATTATTACTAGTACCCCTGGAACATGTAGGTGTTTTGTGTGTGAAATTTCTGTAGCCTTACATGTACACTGTATGTGGCTTCTTCAATAATCACAAAAATGTCAGCCACTTATTCTGATACAAGCTCTACAGAAAGCTGTAGCAGGAAATGAAGCTAGTTCAGTAGTTGTTTAGTAATCATGGGTGAAAGGAAACAAGGTTTGTTAAGATTTTTTTAAAGTTGCTTGTAAACTTCATGCAATCAGTTTTGCAACATGATGATGACAAGGGTTGCCAAGAGTAACAAGGAAGGCCTTGAGATCTTAGTTACGACTAATAAGCAACTGGCCGTGTTTTGTAATAAGTATTTTACAACCCTTATGTACAGTTAGTGAGGGTACAATTGTGTATCTAGCTTTTGTGAACAATTTAGCCATCATGCCTTTGTTTTTTTTTTGGCCTTTTGCTGTTGTCCACATAACCAGATTACTTGAAAGTGATTCAAGGGAAAAATGTTTCAAACAACTTGGGGTCCATGGGAGGAAACTTAAACATGTTATATTTCAACATTAGTGATGCATTTCACATCTACATGTAATGTTACATGTTCTGTAGGAAGAAGGTATAGAATCTCCTATGCTGAGTATATACAGCAATGTGATAAGGAAATACATGTACTAACAAACTGAAGGTACTCTGTCCCTTTTTTAAAAGTTGTGAATGATGTGACAGTACAAACATGTATGTCATCCATACTGGCGTCTGGCAGTCAGGGCCTGGTCACACATGTTGTGCGATCATCATGCAATTACAAACTGAATGCAATCTTGGGATAGTTTTGAATCTGTCCAGCCTGTCTTATAGATCCTTGTAGGCAGTTGATTCTGTCGCAGCCTGCTTGAAAATTCTATGACATCAAAATTGTGTGATGACCTACAATGAATGTGAGTGCACCATTCTTATCAGAAGAGTGTTTGCACGATAGAATACAGTAGCCATTGTTGAAAAGAGTTGGAGAGCCCATGCCTTTGTAATCTTCTTCAGAACCAGTGTACATTGTACTGGCCTGAGACTTAAAATGGGTATAGACACATCAAAGCATTTTAATTTCTTTAGAAAAGAAGACTTGACAATTCACCATTTTAATTAAGGAACACTACTAACGTTGAACGTTCAACTATCACACCTTCAAATTGTTAGGAATTGCTTTCTAGATTTGCTTTTGCCCTGATATACGTAAATACTTGTATAATATTTACTTAGAATGTTATAAAATGTTGAAATAAATGAAATAAAAATATTTCTGTTGCCCTTTGTTGAGACAACAAAGAAAAGAAATGGCAGAAATATTGCCAAAAAAGCTCCATATTCAGACGCTCGTACTAGCCGTTGTAGGAATTCCCGTCTCAAAATGAGCATATGCCTGACTAAAACAATTATTCCCTGATATATCTGTGATATTCAATTAGTCAGGAGAAGCCTCAATGTCAAGAACAAGAGCTGGAAAGACCTGGAGTAAAACCCCCATAAGAGCCCATCGCGTTTCCCAAGTCACGAAATGGCCAAATCTGGGAATGAGCGAGGCTTCGTTAGCGAGATACGGACCTTTCCGGAGCGGGGGCTCCAAAACGGGGGTGTGATAGGGGATGAATTTCCGCTTTTTCAATTTTAGAAAAATGAAAATTTTGGCATTTTTCGGCCTCCCTGTTTTTAGAGTACACTCCTTGTGGTCTCCTTTCTATTTCTACTTATTGCCTTTGTCCAAATGTTCTTCATTCTCAAGTTATACGTCAAAACGTGGTTTTGCGATCAGCTGATAGCTTGCAGAAGTGGTCACAACCTTTGCGGAAGTGAATTTTCCGTGTCGATCACATTACCATATGAATGGTAACCAAGCAGATGCATGGTGGAAGGTGAAATCGTAACAGCTCTGTTTCCATTCATATGATATTGAGATTCGCACCGAAAAATTCACAAAATTGATTTTCTTCGTATATTGCAGTCGGTGTGTTAATATTCAGTTTGTTGTCATGAAGAAAAGGCCAGGTTCAAACTGAAGCTATCCCTGTCCTTGGTGCTGAAAGCTATCCCTACACATGCCCCCCTCCCCTGTTCGTAAGAATATTACGCGGTTGCCGAGCATTTTTACCTCCCTTAACCTCATAAATCGACTCCTTTCCTCTGTAGAGTCAGTTCTTACGTGACTCTGTGGGTTATCTGTCATAATTGTTTCTCTTTATTATCCAATCAGGCTCGACGACTCAAACACAAAGACATGATGAGAACCAATCAGCATCAAGGATACATCGGTTAATGACCCTCTGCGCCATGTATCAAAAGCGACTTCTAGCAGCCAGTGAAATTATTGCATGTAAAAATCTCCTCAAGTACCTGCAATAATTGCGTGAACTGCTAGAGGCCCTCATTGACACGTGTGATGAATTAGTATTATGGCGCCCGTGGATGCATTACAGCATCCAATTAACTAAAACGTGAGGGAGTAAACTTTGTAAAGAAGGGTGCACGTTCGCCAGGGATGGAAAGATTCTTCTGGACACCTCAGGTATGAATTATTACACTTCTAGAAAGAGTTTGGTGGAAAAACTGGAACGAAAAGTTTATGCGTTTATGCGTTTTATTGATGTTTCTTTCATTTTTCTTTACTTAACATATTTCCTTGATTTCGTTCTTAATATCTTGATTTCGTTCTTAATATCAGTTCTAAGCGCCCAGAAACAACCTAGATGTGAAGAATACATCATATAGAAGATATTGCAACAACTAGTCTTGTAATGGTTTGCGCTATTTTTACATTAAACGCCAATGTTTACACCCATTCCTGCCTATATTTAAACCAGCATATCTACTCAGTTCGCCTGAAGGATTACGTAACTACCTCGCATGACGTAATGCGGCACCTGGACTTAATGTATGCATATTTTTGAGCCTCGCTATCAGAAGAAATCCGTTGATTTGATTGGTCCGCTTTTTAATCGAATAATCGAGCTCAGCTAAGACCTGTCAAATGGCCATTTTACAGTTATTGCATAACTTTTGAAAATCTAAGACTTGCTTCGCTAGAAGCGTCCTTTATTAGTCACAAATTCAAATCACAAATACAAGATGAAATTCAAAATTAAATCATGCATCTTTTAGGCCTGCGTAAATCTTATGTTAACTTGATTATCGAATGCAAATTTTGCTCATGATTTACAGGTGGCATGACACATGTGCGTGAAACACACCTTTCCAACATGGCGAGTGTGCATGGAAGGGAAGAACGAGCGGGTAAAAATTCCGCTCAGGAAGACGCGCCACGCCCGTTTTAGTGGTAAGTTGTACTTCAAATTGTCGTTGATACTCTCCGGACTTTTATGGATAAATCTCCTTTAAGTAAAACGAAGCAAAAAGACAGAATTTCGATAATAAGTTTCGGCAACTGTCCCCCACGAGTTAACGCTGCACTAAGTTAAGTAACCGATGGGGGCGCATTTGCGTGGTCGATAAAAAAAGCACTTTCATTTCTTCAAATGTTTATTAATTTTCTTTTTTGCACCGTAGCCACCAGTTCTTTGAACACGAGTCAATCAATTACTATTCAATGAGGGTGAAATTGATAATCCTAAAATAGAAGAACTACCCCAATCTTAAGAGGTGCACTTTGTAAATAATCCGCTGAGGGGCGCTTTTATGTGACCCCTGACCTGAACAGTTTTGCTTGAAACGTGGTTTGTTGTTGTCATTTGTGTTTTGGTCAAATTCTATGCGTTTCCATGTAAAGCAAAGGTGTTCCGAGGCCGATAGCAGACAGAGGGGACACGATGGTACAGTTTGTGTAGAGGATGACAAGGATAAGGTGATAGATTTGGAAGGAGGGGAGACAGACGACCGGTAACGTTAATATTTTGGAGTGGGGAGGGGGGCAGTAACAGAGTTGTTTTATGTATCAAAGACCGTATCCAGGGTTATGATATACGTCACATAGTGCTCAGGAAGGTAAATTTGTCTGTAGAAAAGACACCAAGAATCCGTCATAAGATTAGAGACTGTCCGAGAAGCGGTGTTTTGGCCTGGAACAGTTCAGGACTTTTCTACGCACCAGTTGTTGAGCGGTATAAAGTCCCAAACACTCTCGAGCTTGACTTTGTAGCTGCGGTGACAGTTGGAGGGCTTCTTGCTTGCAGTCTTATACATTGGCCTAAAGTATTTGACTTTGTTAAAATCTAATATTGGAATTTTGATATTTGTCACGCGCGCCGGACGTCGACGTGTACTAATTAGAAAAATTGATGACTCTAACAATACTTGAATATGATCATTTGTATGCCTTGTTGCTCTTTAATACTGAAGCTCCTATGCATGTTGTTTCAGATTTGGAATTGAAATACATCGAAGAGCTCCAAACCAAGGGAATTGTTTTCAGAAGTAACGTTGTGGTAGGTACATTGTTTTTTTGGAAACGCAACCGTTTGGAACAACAAATGTTGGTGGCATTGTGTTCCCGGGTTTTAATCCCACTAGCAGGTCTGTATACTCATGAAGGGGCATCTTCAAGTCCTTTCATGACTTATTGATCACGGATCAAATCTTAATTCTTATTCACTTAAAGTCATTGGAGTCAGGAAACTTCAACTGCTTCCTAAGTTGAAATCTTATTATTAGTTAATAATAACTATTCATGACAGTTTCATTGACACATGTTTGCATGTGATGATGATGGTTTATTTGATATTGATACATGAATACATATTTGACACGACGTGTTTTTCTCCATATCATTTATTGCTGTATTTAGAAATCATACGAAGCTCATGTTCTGTGTGATTTTAGAAACATGCACAGTACTCAGGTTTCATGTTTGTGGTAACATGACTTTATGATACGTATATCTTTTGCTTGTCCCCAGTTCAAGCAATTCAGTGTTTGACCACATATTTGATGAAAAAATGTTTTCAGATGGATGTGCCAGTGGACAAAGTCATCATATGATTATGAGCTGCTGTGTAATAACTTCGAGTTGGTGTAAATAATGTCTTACTTAACTTCGTGGATCATAACCTTGTAATTATGATTATAAATGCTATTTTCACTATTGCCCAATTACTGTATTTCTGTGCATGTGAGCTGTTTTTCAGTTCAATTCATATTTGAAATTGCATTTCCATTTGTCGTTGCCTCTG